TGCGTCCCTGCCTCGGCCGCTGCAGTCGCCGCCGCCGCCGCCGCAGGTCAGGAGGAGCCGCAGCGCCGGGCGACCCCGCCCGGGCCTCGGGTGAGTGGGGCTGGTTGGGCCGGACTGGCTTCTCACTCCCAGGTCTCCCGGCCTCTCCCTGCCCCCTGCTCTCTCTCCTCTTCCCTGCCGCGTATCTGCGACCTTCCCGCATTCCTTGGGCGGCACTTCTGTGCCTGCACTTGACTTTCCCAGGTGTCTCCTTGTCACTCCTTAGTTGATCTTTAGGGATAGGGCCCGAATTGTAGCCCTAGCTTTTTTCCTGACCTTGGGCGTGACAGCTCTCCTAGCCACGGTATTCTCCTCTAATAATGGGGTGGTGGTTAGGGCCAGAAGAGAGGGTGGCTGTAAACCCTTCTGTAAGCTGTAAAGAGTTGTTTACAGGCATATATTACAATGGGCTTTCTCCCACATTGTTCTTGGCTTCCTGAATGCTCTTATTCGTCCCTTTTAAGTTTTTTACTTTTCTCTTTTATTCTTTGCGCATCTGTCTCATTATCGATCCATAACCCTGTCAGTGATCTTTGGGGGATTTCCTGACAGGCATCTGGTACAATCAGGTCAGCCTTCAGGGCAGTCAATGCCAGTATCTTTTCTTAGTGCAGCCAAGGCTCATCTCTCCTGAGGAGTCATTGCTGCTGGAACTGAGTCTCTTTTTGCTGTTGGATGGACACCTTTCACTTAAGGGCAACCAGTTTATTATGATAGTTAAACTGGAGTGTAAGAACTGTTGATGCAGCTGCCTTGTAACTTCTTTTGCTGTCCAGGTTGTATACGGTGCTCTCCAAGGTGATGCTACAGTGTTACATTTGTAGTGTGCTTAGTGTATATACTTAATGCACATATATTTATCTGTTTTACTCTTACTGTCTCAGATGGTCTAGAAATCTAGCTCAATATATTTTTCTTCCTAAACTCTTCGCCCCACAGATGATGAATTTAAATTTTTTTGATATTGTCTTAGAATTTGCTTGTCAAGAAGTTACAGCTTGGTTAAAGTGAATGGCTCTTGGGTTATTTTAAACACAAGTGATAAACTTCATTTCTTGAACACTGGAAAATACAAAGGTTAGATTTGAAGTTATTTGGATAATGTACTTTTTGGAGTCCGACTAGTAGGTTCACATTGACTTCAGTTGAGAGATGGAGAACAACACCATCTGAAAAGGTAACTTCCTAAGGAATTCATAATACAATAGTTGGAACTCTTTGTGCAAATGTCTCCTATCAAGGCAAAGTGGGTAAATGTGTACAAAAGTGTTCTATCACCAATGACTCAGAGCCTGCCTCAGGTTGCAATGAGTGAACTGGAACTTTATAGCCAACCTAATCAATGCACTATGAAAACAGAAATCCTCTTCTAGAGAGGACAAATACAGTCATGAGCCGCTTAACAGTGGGGATATGTTCTGAACAATGTGTTGTTAGACATTTTGACTGTGTGAACATCATATAGTGTGCTTACGCAAACCTAGATGGTACAGCCTACTCCACACCTAGGCTATGTGGTATAGCCTATTGCTTCTAAACTACAAGCCCGTAGACCATGTTTACTGTACAAAGCAACACAAGATTAAAACAAACACGAGAGAAAATAATGTAATCAAGAGACACGGTAAACGAGATTATATGAGGCTGCTGCCAGTGTAACACAGCTTACTGTTTTACAGCAAACTTTTTTAATAAGTAGAAAGAATACGCTCAAATGATAAGAAGTATAGTAAATACGTAAAGCAGTAAGATAGTTGTTTATCATTATCAAGTATTGTACGTGGTATAATTTATACGCCTGACAGTGCAGCAGGATTGTTTACGGCAGCATCACCAGAAACAGTGAGTAATGCGTTGCACTAAGACATCATAGGCAATAGGACTTTTTCAGCTCCATTTTAATGTTACAGGACCATTTATATATGTGGTCCATTTTTGATCGAAATGTCATTATGTAGCATGTGACTATATTGGGATATATAGAATGGCCCTCTCAGTGAGAGTACTGAAAGGAACTTAATATAAGAACAGTCTTGATTGAGTAAAAAGTGTGGACATACTTTTACATTCTTACTGAAACTGTTACTGTAAGCTTGGACTCTGGTGATATAAGTAATACAATCTTTTTCAATTTGAGGAAATAGGACTAGAAATAAGTTCACATATGAAGTTAACATTTGGGACAAATTAAGAAGTACTTTTCCTGATGATTCCAGAACTTCCCTGTCCCAGTTCATGCTGAACAGCTCTACGAGATCATTTTTTTGAAGCAGCCTTTTGTGGGTAAACATAGTACATGCTTGCTTTATAAAAAATTCAAACACTGGAGCAGAGCATAAAGTCTAAACAGTCATTCTCACTCCCTCTTGTCCCCAAAGCCAGTGTCCAGGGTCAGTGTTAACTTACTGTGTGACCCTTCAGCTGTAGCGCCTCAGAAGAGTTTAGGCCAACTGTGAGAGTTAGTTAGCTGCAAAGTTTAGAGGGGAACGGTCCACACAAGACCACCTTCCCTTCTGAAATCAGCTGCAATGTTGGGGTTTCCCCAAACTACCTAATGTTTTGTTAGTAGCTAGAAGGACTCATAGCTCTCACTGAAAGCTGTTATACTTACGGTTATGGTTTATTACAGGGAATGGACACAGACCAAAATCAACCAAGGGAAGAGGCTCTTAGGACAGAGTCCGGGGAAGTATCAGAGGCAGGGCTTCTGTTGTCCTCTTTCCATGGAGTCAGAACATGTTACTTTCCCAGCATTGCTCTGAGGTAACATGCACGGGGTATTGCCAACCAGGTTAGCTCACCTGAGCCTTGGTGTTCAGAGTCTTTATTGAGGTTTCATTACATAGGCTTGATTGATTGATTGATCATGTGGTTGATCTCAGTTTCCAGGTCAGCTCATACGGTATGACCCAAAGCCCCATCCTGAATCGTATCATCAGTCTTTCTGGTATGACCAGCCTCCACCCTAAGCCATTATCAGCTGTGGACAAAGGCCAGACCTTCTGTGCAAAGTTAAATTCTTTACTACATAGCATTCTTCCTTTTCTCATGGTTCCTTCTTTCAAAATATACTTTTCTTTTGCTTTATCATTGACAAATAACTCTCCCTTCTGGACCATGGAGGAGACAAAGGCCACTGGGAAAGTTCTTTCAACGTTGATTCCTTCTTAGGTAAACTATCTCTGAATATCCATCAGTCTTTTTCTTTCACTTGCCTCTGACAAAGAGATAATCCCTCTTTCCCAATGTTAACTCCTATCTGTCCTTTAGTGCGCCTGTTCGGGGACAGGCATTTTGTCATTGACTCTCATTTGCCCCTTTGATTTTCTTCTCTTTTCCTGACTTCTTTGCCTCTTTCTACAAACATGTTCTTGTCTGGCTGATTTTAGCTTTGCTTATACTTCATTCCATTCTTGAAAAACCTTCAGTTGAATCCTCTTGTCTTATAAAACCCAGACTCCTTATGGAGCCAAGATAATGCCTTATATTGGTACAGCACAGTATAGTTTTGAAAACACTTACATTATCTTACAGTGCCTGGTATGTGGTGGGAGCTCGGTAAATGTTAGATTAATGAATAATTGGCTAGGCAGAGAGTGAGAGTCTTTTAATTGGAGGGACCAGCAAGAACAAAAGCACCGGGGTGTGAAAGGGCACGGCAAGGGGAGCCAGAACGGGCGCTGAGCCCTGAAAGGTAGAGAGAGCCGAGTCAGTGGAGCATTGAATGCCATGGCCTCGAGGTTTTGGGACTGGATTGCTTTAGTGACCTATGCTGTGATTTCGATGGTAAGTCCTGCAGCCACATAGAGGGTGGTTGGGACCTGGCAACCCTTTGAGGTTAGGATACTTCAGAGGTTCAGGCCAGAGGTGAGGGTGCCTGAACTTGGGTTGTGGGAAAGGTGAGAAGGAAAAGACCAGCTGGCGGGGGAAAGTCATCAGCATGGAGGAATGAGGGAGCAGGAGGAGTTGTGTGTCTGGAGAGTAAAAGGTGCCTAATAAACACTGGTTGTGTGAGGAGTGTTGTCAGTAAAAGGAAGGAGAGGCCAGCTCTGTTAAGTTGGTGGTTTGGTTCATTCTGGGAAATGGTGTCGTTTATTTGCTGCACCCACTAAACAGGGGGCAGTCAGAAGAGAAACTTCTAGTTTCTCTTGAAATAGGCTGTTACAGTATCATTTCTGTAAAATGTTTTGAATTCTTAGAGTTTCATGTTTTCCCAAATTCAATTTTTTCATTACAGAAATGCATTTCCTAAAACCAAGTGCTCTGGGAGGCAGTGTATTTTAATAGAAGAACATAGGCTTTGGAGTCAGAACGGTCCTCCACTCTTTACTGGCTGTGAACTTGGGCAAGTTACTTCAGTTCTAAGGCTCAATGTCCTCATCCCTAAAATGAGCTAATAAAAGCACCTAGCTTTTAGGGTGGTGGCAGGGGTACATGTGGTAATGTACATAATAAAGCTTCTGACACACAGCAGATGTTCAGTAGTAATGTACTGGCAGTCCCTTTAGCCTAATTTCTTATGTTGTCATTAACTTGCAACGGAGAGCTAAATCTACTGTTAGCATGTCAAATGTTCATGGTATTTCGGATTTGGGTGAGTCTGATGTTATAAAAATTCACTTATTATTAAACAAGGAAGCTCTGTTTAGGAAAATATGGAAAGGTTGGGATTCATCAACCTTATTCAGGTTCAGCTATTCTCTGGGATAGGACATGTAAAGAAGTTTAGAACTCTGGGGCTATTTATTTCTGGATTTAGAATTCTTGAGGATTTACTTACCATGTTGGGATTTTTAAAAATCAGGCTGTAGTTTCGTGATAAAAGTGAAACCTTTGGTATGTGTGTGAGCATGCCTTTGAGACCGCCTCATCCAGCCTTCATGCTCCAGGTGACACATCTGAAATTGAGACTTCCCCAGGAAAACCCCTTCTAGTGTGGGTTTTTCTCTTCCTTCCCTTCTCCCTCTCTCCCCTTAACCTTTCCACATTTCTCTCCTACTCCTTGTCTCCAAGGCCTCCCTACGTTGTGACCCTACTCCCCATGCCAGATCTGCCACTTGGATCCTTTTTCATATTCCTTTCATATTCCCATGGGCTTCATTTCTGCTTTTTCTTGTCTTCCTCAAGCATGCTCCATGATGGTCTCATTCATTCACTAAATAAATGTCTGTGGAGTGTGCCAGGGTGTGCTGGGGATACTACAAGGAACATTCCGTTGAGGTGGTGACAAAGGAAGAAGACATCCAGCAAGGGGGAAAATGGTAAGAGGTGAGGTCACCTGGCTCCAGGATGGGTAGGATTTTATAAGCCACAGGGAGGTCTTTGGTTTGCAGAGGCAGTCATGGGATGGTTTTAAGCAAGGGACTGACTCCATCTGATTTCCACCTGTAAAAACTTACTCTGGGTGCTGAATGGGGATGGATGGTAGAGTAGAGGCAATGAGTGTAGAAACAGCATTGATTAGGAGGCGATCCAAGTCCTGCCCAGGTGAGGGCTCGTGTGCCTTTATCTGGCTGGGTGGGAAGGTAGAAGAGAGGGTCAGATTTGGGTCGGTTTGGAGGTAGAGCCT